CTTGAGCGTTAGCTGCTTCCCAGGATTTTGGGGTCACAGGGCTGGTGCTGTGGGGCTCAAGCTGAGATCAAGCAGTGGCTGGTTCGACCGGCAGCGATGGCTTTGGGGGCCTGCCCTGCCAGCCCACAGAGAGGACACGGGGCAGGGGGGGACACAGCAGGGCATGGGCAACCGTGCAACCTCACAGGGGGGTCTTCTGAGGGAGGCTGCATCCATTGTCAGACGTTCTCCCACCTTGGGGACCTGCTTCATTTCCCTGATGCTCCTTGCGATACGGCTGCTTGGTGCTTCCCCTCTCCCACACCCTGCAGAGGAGAGGGTAGGGGGGGCTGCAGGCAGGGGGGGGCTACAACAGAGAGGGGGCTGCAGGCAGGGCAGGGGGGGAGCGGGGAACTCGCAGGGGGTGTTTCTTGCAGCTGCAGCACCCTCCACACGCCAGCAGCATCACCCCGCTGCTGGTGCTCAGAGCCAGAGCAGAGGCACAGAGCTCGGGAACGCCCTTCCCTCCGGTCCAAGGCAGAGCGGGAGAGAAGGAAAAAGCACTGGAGAGAAGGAGGAGCGCAGCAGCACGGCCTGCCTTTCCCTGCCAGATCCCCCCGGGGAGCTTCGCCAACCTCTTCGGCACTTGAGCTGCGGGTTATGAGGACAGACGGACCCATCTTCTCCGGCAGCGGGTGCAGCAGGGAGGGCTCCTACCCATCCTGCCAGGGTGTTTCTGGAGAGCTGGGCTGGGGTCCCAGCCCTGAGGGACATTTTTGGCCTCAATCCAGCAGGGCTAAAGCTCAGCACGCTGCGGGCACGCTCAGCACCATCCCGCACACCCACCAGCGAGGGGGAGAGAAGGAAAAAGCACTGGAGAGAAGGAGGAGCGCAGCAGCACGGCCTGCCCTTCCCTGCCAGATCCCCCCGGGGAGCTCCGCCAACCTCTTCGGCACTTGAGCTGCGGGTTATGAGGCCAGACGGACCCATCTTCTTCTGCGGCGGGTGCAGCAGGGAGGGCTCCTACCCATCCTGCCAGGGTGTTTCTGGAGAGCTGGGCTGGGGTCCCAGCCCTGAGGGACATTTTTGGCCTCAATCCAGCAGGGCTAAAGCTCAGCACGCTGCGGGCACGCTCAGCACCATCCCGCACACCCACCAGCGAGGGTTGCTAGTCACCAGCGAGGTTTTACTAGTCACCAGTGAGGTTTTGCTAGTCACCAGCGAGGTTTTACTAGTCACCAGGGAGGGTTGCTAGTCACCAGCAAGGTTTTACTAGTCACCAGTGAGGGTTGCTAGTCTCCAGCAAGGTTTTGCTAGTCATCAGTGAGGGTTGCTAGTCATCAGTGAGGGTTGCTAGTCACCAGGGAGGTTTTGCTAGTCACCAGCGAGTGCAGGGCACGCAGGGCATGCCAATCCCAGGCGGGAGCGGTGGCACGGCGCTGGCAGGATGACAGGGATGAAGTCAGAGGGAGGCAGCAGAGGGTGGCAGGGGAAGCGCAGCGCTTCCTCGCAGGCGCGGAGTTTTCTGCTCATCAGCGGCATTGTTCCTCTGCCCTTTATCCCCACAGCTGGCTGCTCTCTGCTCCCCGCACGCAGGATGAGAAGGGCAGTTCCTGGGAGAAGCAGCCTTCCTGCCAGCCCCCTGGCACCGGCCAGGGGAGCATCCTCCTGGGTCCTCCCGCTGCAGACGCACACAAGCCCTGAGCAGCCCCTCTGGGGCTTGGGGAAAGGTTGGAATGGAGGACTCGGCAGATAAAACCCCCCAAAACCCCAGACCTCAGGCAGGATTGTGCCTCTTGAGCTCCTCACCAGGGCATTGCAGCTCTCCAGATCCCTTTGCTCTTACCCTGCTGAGGGCTGAACACCCACTTTCCTACAGAGGGATGGTTCCAGCCCCGGAGCCTTGCCGGCAGGAAGCACATGTTGCTGCTCTATTTACTGGTCCCACTTCCTTTGCAGCAGCATTTGCACTCGGAGTGCAGGCGTATCCTTGCCAGCAGACAGAAAATTTCCTGTTCCTGGAAGCGTTTGTGCAGAGAGGTGATTTATTTCTCGTGTGCCTTCCCGGCTGAAGCAGGTCAGGGGGGTTTGTGCTGAGCTCTCACTGCCAGGAGAGCTGCAGGCAGCGGGGAGGACAAAGCCAGGACAACAGAAAACTTACTGACATTGACGGATGCGATAAGAGAACGACACTTACTTCAGGCAGGACAAGCCAGTTCCTCATCTTGCTTTTTATCAGCAGCAGGGTGTCCGCTGCACCTCTTGTTCTAGGCTGATAGCACCGGGGGAGAAGAAGCTCTGCCCTGCAGCTGGTGCCCTCCTGCCCTAGCATGAAATATCACCTATTGAAGAAACAATTCTTCCAAGTCCCATTTGCCATCTCGAGTGTTTTCCTGAAACCCACTTTGGAAATGCCTGCAGCAAAAAGCACACGCCGAAGGCTGAGGAGCAAGGGGTCACCACGGAGGTGGGCAGGAGCTGGGTTATCCAGCCCAGATGCTGTCCTGCACGCTGGGGCTGTTGAGAACCCACTCAGGAGGTGATGCTGGGCAGGAGCTGAGGTGTCCTCAGTGCCTTCATGCAGGGGTGAGGGATGTCCCCAGGCACGGCTGAATCTGAGTCATGGTCCAGAGCGTTGCCACGGGGGACTGCTGGAGACACTCCTGCTCTGCTGGAGCAAAGGCTGCGTTCAGCCATGAAGATGACATCTTGGGGAAGAGGCTCACCACCGTGTCAAAGGCCCTCGAATCCCAGCTTTTATCCCATATCCTGGTGCTGCTGCCCCAGAGGAGCCTTCAGCATCCCAGAGGAACCTGCAGCACCCCAGCACTGATTGCTCCCAGTTTCCAGGAAAGCCTCTGGGTCTCCACAGAAAGCTTCAGGCAGGAGCTTCACTGAGCACCACCATCCCAACGGCTTGTCCCCTCCAGGTGCCCACAGCCAGGCTGTGAAGTGACCATCCTCTGGGATGAAAGCGGCTGCAGATGAGACCCCTGCCAAAGCCCAGACCCCCAGAGCCCTGTCCTCCCCACCTGGGTCCCCACCACTCCTCCCGCTCGGGGCAGTGACCCCCATCTCTGGGCTGGCAGCTGTGGTCCCCAGGGATGGGCAACCCCCAAAGCACCGGCACCGAGGACCAGCTCGGGACCCGTAGCGACACAGGCCAGGAAAGGAGGAGGCTGAAAATAAAAAAAGCTTCAGAAAAGAATGACAGGAATTATTTCAGGGCTGGAACAACCTGCCTCACACTGAGCGAGTGAAGAAGCCAATCTGTTTAGTTTATCTAAGGGAAAGTTAAGAGGGAACTTAGACGCATCTATAAATACCTACATGTTGGGAACATTTCTGATTGCTACGGCCCTTTATCCTAGCAAACAAAGGCAGCAAAATTTCCTGGGGCTGGGAGCCGAAGTGAGAGAAATCCAGGCTAACAGCAAAGCGCAGATTTTTAATGGGAAGGATAAATAACCATCAGGGCAGGGACACAGCAGATTCCCCATCACACGAAGCCTGAAAATCAAAGCTGGGTGGCTGCTGCTAAAGGAGCCACTGCAACTCAGCCCTCAGCCAGAACGATTGGGGCTGGATACGAGAGCCCCCACCCACAGCCTGGGACAGTTTGGAAGAAAATCCCTTAAAATCTGACTCTTCCCGACAGATCAGGCTCTCACCCCTCCTGGGTTTTGCCCCGTGACTCCCCCATTTGCGGTCGCAGTTCCCTCCTACTGGCAAACAGAGCCAGCCAGCCAAGCTCATCCTCCTGTCGTGTTCAGAAAACCACCATCCCGCCCTTCCAAAATTATGTAAAGATTTGGTGAATGTTTGAAAACAGAGAGAGTAGCAAGAAGAAAAGGAGAAATTGAACAGTAAGGGGGAAAAAATGGGGCGTTACCCATTTTATTGCAGTCCAGGGTAAGAAGGGAAACATTTAAAAAGGAGAGAAAAGAAGCAGAGCAGTTTTCATATTTAAAATATTTTGAAAGAAGACTTTGACTTAGCAAAGAAGCATTATTGCAAACTGTGCCAAGGAAAACAACATTTTCATATAATCTTAAATCTGAGGTGAGCTCCATCCATCCCGGCCACTTCACCCCTCCCAAAAGTGCATTTTGCCCTTCGCTCGTTCCTAAAACACCCCCCAAAATGCACGGCCCAAACGATGCACTGGCCCCAGGAGGAAGCTGAGATTTACGATGCGCATCCAAACATCCAGGTAAAGGAGAGAGCAGAGAAAAGCTCCCGGTTAAGCTGAGGAATGGACCTGCCATTTGAGAGCTCAGAGACAAAAAAATAAATAAAAAAAATAGGGAAATCTGCAACGTGGGAGTGTGCCAGCGCTGGGGGCGAGAGGGACGAGGCTGGGAGGATTTCCAGCTCCACGCAGCCTCTTTATTCCTGTGCCTCCCAGCCCCGAGGGCTGACACTGGGCCATGAGGGGACCGTGTGGCTGTCACCCAGCCCCTGGCACAGGCGACTGCTAGATGTCCTAAGCCTGAGCATCCTTCAAATAGCCACCAGGAAACACTGCCAGCCCTCAGGGGAGGAAAACACCTCCCTGGCACTGTCCCGGTTGGTGCTATGGGTCCGGCTGTTGCCCCCTCAGTGCCAGGCGCCGGCGGGGCTGTCGGGGTGGGAGGTGGCGCGGGGCGCACGGAGGCTCACCTGGGGCAGGGCGCTGCGAGAGCCGAGCACCAGGCTGCAGACGCTGGCCGGTGCCTCCGTCCTGCGGGCCGTCACCCTCACCAGCCGCGGCGGCGTCCCCGGCGTGCCGTCCCCAGCCCCCGGGCCGAGCCTCCGCTCACCCTCCCGGCATGGACCCTGAAACGAGACAAGGGGGGGGACGTGCAGGCAGGGCAGTTTGCCTCCAGGCCTCCTGACTGCTTTTGGAAGGGTCAAAATGAGCTTTGCCCCATGCAGGGGGATCATACAGCCCTTGGGGAGCATCCCATTGCCCCCACGGGCAGCGGGGGCACGGCAGGGATGGTGGAGCCTTGTGGGGGGGGGACTCCAGGGTTGGAAACACTGCCAGCCCTCAGGGGAGGAAAACACCTCCCTGGCACTGTCCCGGTTGGTGCTATGGGTCCGGCTGTTGCCCCCTCAGTGCCAGGCGCCGGCGGGGCTGTCGGGGTGGGAGGTGGTGTGGGGCGCACGGAGGCTCACCTGGGGCAGGGCGCTGCGAGAGCCGAGCACCAGGCTGCAGACGCTGGCCGGTGCCTCCGTCCTGCGGGCCGTCACCCTCACCAGCCGCGGCGGCGTCCCCGGCGTGCCGTCCCCAGCCCCCGGGCCGAGCCTCCGCTCACCCTCCCGGCATGGACCCTGAAACGAGACAAGGGGGGGGACGTGCAGGCAGGGCAGTTTGCCTCCAGGCCTCCTGACTGCTTTTGGAAGGGTCAAAATGAGCTTCACCCCGTGCAGGGGGATCATACAGCCCTTGGGGAGCATCCCATTGCCCCCACGGGCAGCGGGGGCACGGCAGGGATGGTGGAGCCTTGTGGGGGGGGGACTCCAGGGTTGCCCCGCTGCCAACTGGGGGTCGGTCTCTTTTCTCAAGTCACAGGTGACAGGACAAGAGGAAATGGCCTCAAGTTGTGCCAGGGGAGGTTCAGGCTGGATATTAGGAAAAATTTTGTCACTGAAAGGGTTCTCAGGCATTGGAATGGGCTGCCCAGGGAGGGGGTTGAGGGACCATCCCTGGAGGTGTTCAAAAGACAGGTTGATGTGGTGCTGGGAGGTATGGTTTAGTGATGATGCTCCTTGTTTGTTGTGTGGGTGTCTATTTTTGTCAGTTAGGTTGATGGTTGGACAAGATGATCTTTAAGGTCCCTTCCAACCCAGAAGATTCTGTGATTCTGTGATTCTGTGATCTTCCTATTGCATTTCACATTTCAGCAACACAAGATGCCCGAAACACATTTTTTGGAGAAAGGAGGAGAGGTTTGATGGTGTTGACAGACTTGGGCTCTGTTCAGCACAGGGAAGCCCCAAGACGGGCTGCTTTGCTCATCCCCCCTGGGAGCAGGAGCACCTCTCATGCCAGCTGCACCAGCCCCACGGCTGCTTCCCAACTTGCTTCTACATTGATTTTTAAACATCCTTCTTGACTGTCACATCTCCTTGGGGGGGCACAGACTGGCCTGGCCGCAGAGACCAGTTGCTGTTCCGAGCAGAGCTCACCAGAGGGTGGATCAAAGCTACAGGAGACCCCAAAAACTAAAGTGGCATCCCGCTGCCCATGGTATAACATCACCAAAAGTATGTTCATAAACAACAGACTAGATCTGCAGGTTTGCCTCTAAACAGAGGGACTGTCAGCGTGAAGGGGGTCAAGAAAAAATGGGACTAAAACGGTTCCTGAACCAGAGGGACAGAGCTATCTCCTGCACTGACTGGGGGCAGTTTTGCTCCCCCTGCTCTTGATCATCAAACTCCTTTGAAGTGTTCCTCCTTAGGTGACATCGTTCAGCTCCATCGTCCCCATGTGCCACTCAAATTTGGTGCCCGTGCAGGTATTTGCTGGGAAGCCAGTTCAGCCCACGAGGCAGAAATAGGGTGTTTAACCGATAGGATTATTTCACTGAAAGGAGGAATCCCCAAATTTCTGCATTTCTGCACCCGTTTCCGTACCCCCAGTTCAGGGGACCCCCCAGCATCCCTCGGCAGGGCACAAGGCAGGGAGAGGGGGATGGGAAGAGGGCCTGAGAAGGCACAAGGCAATTTTATTTACCTTGGTGCCTTTGAAATAACTGAGACCCCACTGCTCAATTGCTGCCTCCCCACCTGGTGCCGTATCTTTTAAAAGGCTGTTGAAAATTGAAAAGAATGCAAATAAGAGAGACAGAAATTATCTGAGAGCTGGAAAGCAAAAAAAAAAAAAAAATCCTGAATAGGGAAACTTAAAAGACTCAACCTACTTCACTTATCAAAAGCAGCCTGCGAGGTGGCTGGATCAGAGAGCCGAAACGTCTCCGTGGGAGACAGCATCAGACGGAGCAACTAATCCAGCTGCAACGGCAGAGCAGGAACCAGAGCTGGAGCAGAAGCTATTTGCATCAGGAGTAATTCAATTAACACTTGTGAACCACAGAAGTTGCCTTATTAATGAGACAAGCTATGAGAGGGGAGGTGTAGGAACGCTCTGGGGGGGAGCTGCGGTGGGCAGCAGCCTTCCGTGCCCCTTTGCCTCCCTCCTGGTGCAGGGTCTGACCCCCCAGCGTGGTGCCAGAGGAGGCTCTTACCTCGGGGAGGTTTTGGGGCTCTCTGGGTGCGATGGCAGAGCCGGGCTCGCCGGCCCCACGCCGCTGCCTGGCTGTGCCACCACGTGCCTCCGGGCTGGGAGGCTGCAGGGGCGCAGAGCGCAGCGTGAGATCGTAGAATTCATGAATATCTGCAAAAGAGACAGAGAAACATCCACAGGACCAGGGAGGCAGCCCGACGCCAGCGTCCCGCGTGGGGTGCACCACCCATGCCCACCCGCTCTGCCCCATCCTAGGTCCAAGCCCTCTGTGTTGCCCCAAGGCGATGGGGCTGGCGCAGGGCTCTGCTGGCTGCCTGACCCTGCCACGCTGCCCACCGTGCCCCCCCTTTGCAAGGCAGGAGGTGCAATGTGGTGCCTGGCTCAGCACACGGTGCCAGCTGCGGGCATTTCCATGAAGCAACGACCACACGCTTCATGGGGACCAGGAGCAAACTGTCCTCAGCAATATCAGCCATAAAGTGATACCCAGCAGGTCAAGGGAAGTCATTCTCCCCCTCTACTCTGCACTGGTGAGGCCACAACTAGAGTACTGCGTCCAGTTCTGGGCTCCCCAGTTCAAGAGAGACAGGGAACTGCTGGAGAGAGTCCAGCGTAGGGCAACAAAGATGATTCAAGGATTGGAGCATCTCCCTGATGAGGAGAGACTGAGAGAGCTGGGGCTCTTGAGCCTGGAGAAGAGAAGGCTGAGGGGAGACCTTATCAATGCTGACAAGTAGCTCAAGGATGGGATGAAGGAGGATGGAGCCAGACTCTTTTCAGTGGTTCCCAGTGAGAGGACGAGGGGCAATGGGCACAAGTTGGAACAGAAGAGGTTCCACTCAAATATGAGGAGAAACTTCTTCACGGTGAGGGTGGCAGAGCCCTGGAACAGGCTGCCCAGGGAGGGTGTGGAGCCCCCTTCTTTGGAGATTTTCAAGCCCCACCTGGATGCTCCTGAGTAACATGCTCTGACAAGCTCTAGGCAATCCTGCTTCAGCAGAGGAGTTGGACTAGATGATCTCTATGGTCCCTTCCAACTCTAAAATTCAGTGAAAAAAAATTCAGTGAAAGCTACCCCAGCCCACGGGTGTGGAGTCCCCTTCTTTGGAGATTTTCAAGCCCCACCTGGATGCTCCTGAGTAACATGCTCTGACAAGCTCTAGGCAATCCTGCTTCAGCAGAGGAGTTGGACTAGATGATCTCTATGGTCCCTTCCAACTCTAAAATTCAGTGAAATTCAGTGAAAGCTACCCCAGCCCGCTCTCCCACAGGCTGAGCCAGCCCCACGAGTGCTCCCATACCCATTCTGCTTGGAGAAGCCTCCTGTGCCAGGCAGTCCCTTTCCTGCCCTGATGCTGCCAGGCTTTTCCCTCCCTATTGCTGCTCCCCATCACCCCTGGCCTGCGGGGGGGTTCCCTTCCCACGGGGACAGGCAGAGAGGGCACCAGGATGGCAGGCTGACAGCATGCAAGCCCTAAAGCTGATGGCTACAGCTGTGTTATCTCCAGTTCCTTCCATGCTAAATTCCCTCTTCTCACCTGGCACTGATGCTCCCTGGGCACTGCCACAAGCAGATGCCGGGTGCCTTCACTCCGGGCTCCGAGGCCCTGGGTCTGCTGCTGCCAGTCCCAGGGGCTCTGGAGAGAGGGGTGAGAATGGGGTGTCCCAGCCCTCGCTGCTCCGGGGGCAGATAACAGGGTGACATCCTGTATCTTTAAGGTCCACATCTTTAAGGTCCCTTCCAACCTAGAAGATTCTGTGATTCTGGGACAGCGGGACCTGACAGCAGCTGCTGCTCGGGTGCATCCCCAGAGGGGCTGTGGGACCCCAGACCCTCTCCTAATCCCTCCCAGGAGCACTTTATCCTCCTAGAGGATATGAAATGATATGAAAAAAAAGGAGCAATGAAAGCCAACATACCCATTGCAGAAGTGTTTCGTTTCAGAAAGGGAACTACATCAAAAGCGAGAAGCTTTTTTACGAAGAAACCAAAAGGGGTAACAAAGAGGGTAAAACATTCGTGGGAGGCACTGAGGCTATTTTAGAGAGACCCCACTGGGACATCAGAGCAAATGCAGGGTGCCTGGCCGGAGGATACTGCAAAGGGAAGAGGGAGGAAAGCAAGGCTGGACTGCAGGGGACGGGAGGCTATTAAAAGCCAGAAGACATTCATCTAAAAAGCCAAAGCTGTGTCCAAATGGGAAAACCAGAACGGGTGGTAAATGCTGCCAGGTTAAAGGTAAAGCTCCAAAAGGTCGGCCAAAAGAGTTTGGTAAACGCCTTGCAAAAGGCATAAAAAAGTAATAAATCCCTTCAAGCACCTGGGAAACAGGAAGCCTGGTGGAGTCGGCTGGGCGGCAAAGTCACGGCAGCACAAATAAGCCCTTGGAACAGGGAAAGCTGCAGCAGGAGCCCGAGTTCACTTTCTGTACCTGTGGGGGCTGCTGGGGAACCCCTCTCCTGGGAGAGACCCCCAGGGCAAGCGGGGGGGGTCCCAGCTCCAGGGGCTGTGGCCGATCCCTTGGGGTATTCCCCTCAGGGATGAAGTGGCTGCACCGGCCCTTCAGTGGGTGATTTCTTACCCAAAACTCTGCCACACCAAGGCACCGCAGGGTATTAAATGCCCACTTCAGCAAGATTTCCAGAGGGAATCCCATGAGCACTGGGCAGGGTGGGCAGGGACATGCTGAGCACTGCCTGAGGATATTTCTCAGGGAGGTTCTTCACAAAGCAGGATGGCACCCCCAGACGTGAGCCCCCATTCCTCTTAACCCCATCCTCTTAACCCAGCTCCCTGTTGCAGATGGGACAGGGAGTAGCATCAGAGAATCATAGAATGGTTAGGGTTGGAAGGGACCTCAAAGATCGACCCCCACCATCCAGGGGCTGCCTGGTGACACCCCCACTGCAGGGAAAAAGCTGCCATAAATCTCAGCTGCCGGCAGAAGGGCTTCTGTGCCCTTCGGGTGGCAGAGCAGCCACCCGAGCACAGGGAGCATCCTGCCACCACCCAGTCTTGGTGCCACTTTTGGAGCTGCTGCTTGGCTCTGCATCGTTGTCAGGCTCCGTCCTGTGCCCTGGGAGAAATGGGGCAGCCGGCAAGGACAGGAGGAGGGGGAGTCCCCCGACCCAGCCCCCGCACCTGGGGCATCCCCTCCGCAGCCCCCCGGGTGCCGAGCGCGCCGCTGGCAGCCCCCGAAGCCCCCCGAACCAGCCGTGAGGTCCCCGCGAGCAGCCACCGCCCGGCCAGACAAACGGGACTTTGTTTTCCTGCAAAACCCTCTCTCCCTCTGGTTATAAAAATAGGCATTGCGTAAGGGGAATAGCAGGGCTCCTGGCGGGGAGGATTACACTTGGAATGCACAAAACTTCGCAAAAATGAAAACAGGATTTGAAGAGCCCCCCCCGTCGGGGGTGGGGGCACCGCTGCCAGCCTCCCCGTTTGTCACCCGTCTGCTGGGGGAACACAGCCCGGGACAGCCACGATGGCAAGGTGCCTGCGGAGTGGGGAGCAGCCACCCTCCCCCTCCAAAAACCCTCAGCCCGTTCCAGACACTTGCAACGACGACAGGGACTAATTGCTGGCACCAGGGATGAGTTGGGGTTTCACGACTGGGGGACAGGGTTCATGCAGGGAAGGGTGCGGATGTGAGAGGGGTATACTTTAGGCCATAGGCACAGTAAGACTTCAAGATAATTGAAATATAGGCGGTTTTCCCTCATTTTTTGTTGGCA